AATCATTCATTTGTTCTCCAATGTTCAAAATTTGTTGACATCTCATCTGTTATTGTCCCCTCTTCCACTCTTTTTTTAACTCTGTGGTTGGACATTTTTATTCCTTTACTATCATGGAATTTTGAGAGCGGTGAAGGTTAATATAAATATTTGATTTTTCCAGAAAATCTAAAAAAATCTAAATTCTATATAACATTCTTTTTTGATATTAAAGTAATCCATAGGTTCTCAGGCATCACACCACAAAATTAGGCAGGAGAGGAAGATGGATACTGCCAATATTATAGAACAGTGATGAAAATCAATGGAAAGTCAGAGTGCCACTCTATTTTTGATTCCACTTTGGTTTATTTTAAAGTGTCCTATGGTAGAAAGGCATTTAAGTTAAAAAAAAAAAAACGGTTCAGAGAAAAAGAATTTCACATTTTCTTTTTTCCATTGTTTTCATACTGCCTTGTTCAAATGAATTATGCCCACTTCAGACAAAGATTATACTTTCAGTAAAGCAGACCTTTTAGGAAACTCATTGTGCAGTTGTAACCTGGTCACAAAACCATCTGGTGCATTCCCGAAGGCTGTTATTACATTTCATGGACTTATATTACTTCAAATACTCTAACAGTCCCATGTGGGCTTAAAAAGAGGATTTAAAAAAAAAACTTAATTTGTTTCTGCTTACTTTAGACCTTCTAGACTTATCCCTTGTAAGAGGAATCCTGATTATAAGTACCTTTTATGTCAATCAATACACATTATGAGTTTTATCAAGTGATACAGAACACTCACTTGATTTTTTTTTATTTTTATTTTTTTTTAATTTTTTTTTCAACATTTATTTTTGGGACAGAGAGAGACAGAACATGAACGGGGGAGGGGCAGAGAGAGAGGGAGACACAGAATCGGAAACAGGCTCCAGGCTCTGAGCTGTCAGCCCAGAGCCCGACGCGGGGCTCGAACTCACGGACCGCGAGATCGTGACCTGGCCGAAGTCGGACGCTTAACCAACTGCGCCACCCAGGCGCCCCTCACTTGATTTTTAAATAGATATGTTTCTTTGTAGTAAGTTGCTACTTGTTGATACTGTTTCTCTCAAAATCAATACAATGACAGTTGGACTATCAATTTTTTAATTAATAAAATACTAAAACTATAGCATTTATGTAAATATTACAAATGTATTTTTAATGAAAATTCTAGGAAAAGTATGTTTTGAACCTTTAGAAGCTTTCTGGACAACATGGTATAGTGGCAAAAGTATCAAACCCACCATTTTCCACGAATTCAACAAGTATTTATTGAGCATCCATACCCTAAGCTGAGACACAGTTGGTTGCTAATGATGTACAAATGTATAACACATGTTTAATGAAGTAGGCAGATATATAAATAGGCTATTACAACACAGTAAGATATATGCTATAATAGTAATAATGTATAAACTACTATGGGTTTCCTAAGGAGTAAATCCTCAGAAAAGTAAAAAGAAATTTTCATCAAGAACATAACCTTCAACTGGTTTTGATTGGTAAATATGCCAAATGAATTGTATAACTTGTATGCCAAGGCAGAGAGTAATGATGGGATATGGTATGTTTATTAGTAAAAGATTTTATGTTTAACAGTGAAAACTTCAGCGCATAAAGGTAAGGTCCTAGGATGAAAAAGCGGTCTTGAGATTTTAAAAGTAGGTGGGGGCCAAGATGTGAAGGCTCATTTAGTAGTATGTGAGGTTAGATAAGTTATTTCATCTCTTACAACCTGTATAATATATGTAGAAAAGGTTTATAAATGACAAAGTAAATATATTTTTGCTTCAAATGATTTCTTAAAATTCAAGACACTTCCTACATTAAAGAGGAAAAATACTCAACTGAGGTAAGAATATTTATTTTCCTAAAATTAAGTATAGTGACTAAAATTCAGGAATATTAAATAATATTCAAGCTCCCATAGAAACTATTTGCTGAATATTAAAATACAAATAAAAGATGACAAAACATGTTGATCACCAGGGAGAGACCAAGTAAGCAGATGAAATGCTTCAAGAACAATTTATAATGCAACTTGATGCCAAGTACCAATGGGATTTCTAGGCAGAGAAGGGCAGCAGCTTAACCATATCAGATTAATCACAGAACTGAATCATTCAGTTTGAAGGGAAACACCTGCAGAATATCGGAAGAGGGGCACCTGGGTGGCTCAGTCAGTTAAGTGTCCAATTTCGGCTCAGGTCCTAATCTCACAGTTTGTGAATTCAAGCCCTGCATGGGGCTCTGTGCTGACAGCTCAGAGCCTGGGGCCTGCTTTGGATTTGTGTCTCCCTCTCTCTCTTCTCCTCCCCCACTCACACTTGGTGTCTCAAAAATGAATGTTTAAAAAAAAAAAAAATTAGGAGTGCCTGGATGGCTCAGTCGGTTAAGTGTCTGACTTCAGCTCAGGTCATGATCTCACGGTTTGTGAGTTCAAGCCCCACGTCAGGCTCTGTGCTGACAGCTCAGAGCCTGGGGCCTGCTTCAGATTCTGTCTCCATCTCTCTCAGTCCCTTCCCCACTCACCCCTGTCTGTGTCTCCCTCTCTCTGAAAAAATAAACATTAAACAAAATTTTTTTTAATTAAAAAAAATAATGGGGTCTTCCCTTTTGAGGCCATCGCTGGAGCTACAGTGGTCAACATGAAGTTCAATCTGTTTGTGACCTCTGACCGGAGCAAGAACCATAAAAGGCATTTCAATGCACCTTCCCACATTCACAGGAAGAGTATGTCTTCCCTTCTTTCCAAGGAGCTGCAACAGAAGTACAACGTTCAATCCGTGCCCATCCCAAAGGACGACGAAGTACAAGTTGTGGAGGACACTACAAAGGTCAGCAAATTGGCAAAGTAGTCCAGGTTTACAGGAAGAAATGTGTTATCTACATTGAACAAATACAGCGAGGAAGGCAAATGGCACAACTGTCTACGTGGGCATCCACCCCAGCAAGGTGGTTATCACTGGACTAAAACTGGACAAAGACCACAAAAAGATCCTTGAACGCAAATCCAAATCTCGCCTAGTAGGAAAGGAAAAGGGCAAATATAAGGAAGAAACAATTGAGAAGATGCAGGAATAAAGTAATCTTACATACAATATTAAATAAAAAATGTTAAAATGGGAAAAAAATAATGGGGAAGAAAGTGGGTGATGTGTTCTTGGGACTTAAATCCAGTTATTGTAGTCTTATGTCATTAGCTATCTGTAAATTTGAACCCAAATGCAATCTAATCTGCTTATGTGAAAATGGACTAACTAATGAACAAGATACTTGAGAAAAATTTAAATTCTGGATTTGGCTAGGTCAGATAATGGTTAGCAGTGGGTCTTCTGCCTGAACTGAATAGATGCCAAATGGTCATGTTTTCATGATTTTATTCTTTTTTTAAATATTTATTTTTATTTATTTTTGAGAGACAGCAAGCCGGGGAGAGGCAGAGAGAGAGCAAGAAAGAGAATCCCAAGCAGGGTCTGCACTGTCGGCACAGAGCCTGATGTGAGGCTTGAACTCACAAACCACGAGATCATGACCTGAACCAAAACCAAGTGGGACACTTAACCAAATGAGCCACCCAGGAGCCCCTTATGATTTTATTTTTAACCTGTGTTCTTCTATTTTAATTATCTGAGTGTCTTATAGCCTCACAGGAAAATTACATGGCTTTAACTAATTATAATTTCATAAACAGAGAATATGAAATATTAAATTATATTATTAAAAATACAAGAATTACAGTGTTTATAAATTAAACGTTGATGTCCTACAATATGAAAATTATGCTATAAAATGGTGATTTAATAACTAGTTGTACAAAACACAAATCTTAATGGACCAGAATCCTTAGAAAAGAAGTATTACAATTAAATGTTATTATTAGTTGATGTTAATTCTTTAGTACTATGAGTATAGTTTGTTTTATCTCTTCTTGAATAGTTTGCTTTACACCCATAAAATCATCAACTGGGTTCTGATGTTCACAAGGTAAAACTTTTATTGTTTGAGATAGTGAACTTCTTTTTTTTTTTAATTTTTTTTTTCAACGTTTTTTATTTTTATTTTTGGGACAGAGAGAGACAGAGCATGAACGGGGGAGGGGCAGAGAGAGGGAGACACAGAATCGGAAACAGGCTCCAGGCTCGGAGCCATCAGCCCAGAGCCTGACGCGGGGCTCGAACTCACAGACCGCAAGATCGTGACCTGGCTGAAGTTGGACGCTTAACCGACTGCGCCACCCAGGCGCCCCAGAGATAGTGAACTTCTATAAACATTTATGGAGTACCTCTTCTGTGTGACATTCATTGATCAATTACAAATCTTTACATATTTTTTAAATCCTTTAATTTTTAAGTTTGTTTATTTACTTTTGAGAGAGACAGAGAGAGCAAGTGGGGGAGGGGCAGAGAGAGGAGGACAGATGATCAGAAGCATGCTCTGTGCTGATGGCAGAGAGCCTGATGTAGGGCTTAAACTCACCAACTGTGAGATCACGACCTGAGCCAGAGCTGAATGCTCAACCGAGCTCAAATGAGCCACCCAAGTGTCCCAACCACAAATCTTTAAACTTTAGCAGAGTTTGTAGTTTCATTTGTTCCATCGATTCTTTTTAGCTTTCACTTGTGACATCTATCATTAAAAATATACCAGTTCCAGGGGTACTTGGGTGGCTCAGTCATTTAGGAATTGGAGTCCTGATTTCAGCTCAGGTGATGATCTCACAGTTTGTGAGTTTGAGCCACACATTGAGCTCTGTGCAGATGGCACAGAGCCTGCTTGGGATTCTCTCTCTCCCTCTGCCCTTTCCCGACTCACATGCATTCTCTCTCATAAACAAACAAACAAACCAGTTCCTAAGGTTCTAGTGAAATACAATTCTATCAAATTTATTATAAGGATTAAAGTAGCAAGACTATCTCTTCTACAGCCCTGACCAAAGGTTAATATTACAGTTACATTACATGAAATTTCACTTACCTGCCTAGGGCCTGGTTTAAGGCCCTATATGCTTGAATTTCATACCATTGACGACCAGGTAAAAGACCTCTCAGTTTGGAGTGCTGATCATTGTATTGTCGCTTTAGTACAACCTAATAATTTAAAAATATTAAAAATATAGTATATAATTACGGCTCAGTTAAAAAACCATATTAACTTCCAACATTCTGAATCATTTTATTAGGGTAGAGAGATTTTGTTTTTCAGTATTTCAGTAATACATTTTTTTTCAGTTCATTTAAAACATGTTTATTCATCCTTACATTCCCTGAACTCCTACATGCAAATAATAAATTAGCTGCTGTGTGATGAAATCAGTTTTATTGAGAAATAATTTACAGAGAATAAAATTCACAAACTTTCAATGTACATGTAGATAAGTTTTGACAAATACATAGTCACGTAACCACCACTACAATCATAATTTAGAATATTCTTACACCCTCCTAAATGTCCTTTCTATTCCTTTTCAGTCTCTCTCCTTCACTGCTGACTCTGTCCAACAATGATCTGCTTCCTGTTTTGCCTTTCCTAGAATTCCATGTAAATGTTATTATATGGTATGTAATCACTTGTTGTTTTCATTTAGCATAGTGATTTTGGAATTCATTCATGTTGAAATATACATCAGTGGTTCATTCTTTTATGTTTATCCAGCCTGATAATATCTGCTTTTTTGATTGGGGTGTTTACACCCTTCACATTTAATGTAAATATTGTTATGATTTGGTTTAAATCTACAGCAGCAGAACACACATTCTTCTCAAGTGTGCATGGAATATTCTCCAGGATACATTATATCATATAAATCGTATAATGTATCTTTTACAACATCAATGGTATGAAATTAGAAATCTATTAACACAAGGAAAACTGGAATGTTCACAAACATGTGGAAATTAAATAACACACAACTGAACAATGGGTCAAAGAAGAAATCAAAAGAGAACTTAAAAAATATCTTGATACAAATGAAAATGGCAACACAATAAACCAAAACTATCAGATGCAGCAAAAGCAGTTCTAAGAGAAAAGTTTATAGCAATAAATATCTACAGTAAAAAAAAAAAAAAAAAAAGATCTCAGATAAACCACCTAACTTTCCACCTTAAGTAATTAGAAAAGGAAGAACAGCTTAATGTCAAAGTTAGCTTAAGGAAGGAAACTAAGATGAGAGCAGAAATGAACTTTGAAGCTAGAAAACAATAGATAAAAATCACTGAAATGAAGAACTGGTTTTTTGAAAAGACAAAACTGATAAACTTTTTGCTAACTAAGCAAAAGAAAGGGTCAAATAAAATTATAAATGAAAGAGTACATTTCTGGGATAACCCGGAAGGAATGGATAGATTCCTACAAATATACAACATACCAAGACTAAATAATGAAGAGAAAAAATCTGAACAGATCTATAATAAGCAAGAAAATTGAAGCAGTAATCAAAAGTCTCTGAACAACAACAACAACAACAAATCCTAGGACTAGATGGCTTCAATGGTAAATTCTATCAAGCATTTAAGGAAGAATTATCACTTTTCCTTCTCAAATGCTTCCAAAATATTGAAGAGATGGAAAAACTTCCAAACTCATGTTAAGAAGCCAGTACTAATCACATACCAAAGCCAGATCAGGACACTACAAGAAGAGAAAATTACAGGGCTATATCCCTATAGGATAAACACTGTTGCAAAAATCTTTATCAAAATACCAACAAACTAAATTCAACATCACATTAAAAGGATTAGAGGGGCGCCTGGGTGGCGCAGTCGGTTAAGCGTCCGACTTCAGCCAGGTCACGATCTCGTGGTCCGTGGGTTCAAGCCCCGCGTCGGGCTCTGGGCTGATGGCTCAGAGCCTGGAGCCTGTTTCCGATTCTGTGTCTCCCTCTCTCTCTGCCCCTCCCCCGTTCATGCTCTGTCTCTCTCTGTCCCAAAAATAAATAAAAAACGTTGAAAAAAAATTTTAAAGGATTAGATACATGATCAAGAGGGATTTATTCCTGGAATGAAAGATTACTTTAACTATACATAAATCAATAAATGTAATAAACCACATTAACAAAAGGGAGAACAAAAATCATATAATCATCTCAAAAGAGGCAGAAAAAGCATTTGCAAAAATTCAACATCCTTTCATGATTAAAACTCAATAAATCAGATATAAAAGGAATGTACCTCAACATAATAAAGGCCATATATAACAAGCCTACAGCTAATATCATACTCTGTGGTGAAAAGCTGAAAACTTTTCTTCTAGTATCAGGAATAAGACAAATGTGCCCACTCTCACCACTTCTAGTCAACAAAATACTGAAAGTCTTTGCCAGGACAATTAGGCAAGAAATATAAGGAATCCAATCCAGAAAGGACAAAGTAAAACTTTGTTTGCATATGACATGATCTCATATGTAAAAAGCCCTAAGGACTCTACCAAAAAACTGTTAGCACTAATAAATGAATTTAGTAAAGTTGGAGGATACAAAACATCATACAAAAATCAGCTGTATTTCCATACACTAACAACAAACTATCCGAACAAAAAGAAAAGAAAAGAAAAAGAAAAACAGTCCCATTTACAATAGCATCAAAAAGAATAAAATACTTTGGGATAAATTAAACCAAGGAGGTGAGGAGCACCTGGGTGGCTCAGTTGGTTAAGCGTCGGACTCTTGATTTCAGCTCAGGTCCGGATTCCAGAGTCATGAGATTGAGCCCTGTTTCGGGTTCCACACTGAGTGTGGAGCCTGCTTAAGATTACCTCTCTCTCTCCCCTGCTCACTCTCTCTCTAAAATAAAAATAAATCAAGGAGGTGAAAGATCTTTACACTGAAAACTTTAAGACATTGATGAAAGAAACTGAAGAAACACAAAGAAATGGAAAGATACTATGTTTATGCATTGGAGTAATTAGTATTGTTAAGATGTCCTTATTGCCCAAAGTGATCTACAGATTCAGTGCAATCCCCCTCAAAACCCAAATAGCATCTTTTACAGAACTAGATGAATGGTAACTGGCTAGTAACCCACATGAAAAGATACTTAAGTTTATTAGTAAACCAAGAAATGCAAATTTAACAATCCCACTGTTTTTATCTGCAGAATACTGACAAATATTTACCACAAATGTTTCTATTTTCCTACAAGTACAGATAGATAATATGTGCAAGGATATTCATAGCATCTTTCTACTAAAGACAAATAAGAAACAACCTAAATGTCTAATTATCAAGTGGATAATTAAATGTTATATTACATTTATTCTGAGATAAATACTAATTAAAAGAAATAGATTTATATATTTTGACATGGAAATTTAGCCAAAATATATTTTGTAAATAAAAAATCAAGTAAAATACACACACACACACTCACACACAGTCAGGTATAATGTTTTTAAAAAGGACCATGATTTAGAAAGATGCCAATTCTAAACCAACTCCCAAAAAGACTTAAACCAAAACCCTGACAAAAATCACAGGGGAGACAGAGTTTAAAGATTATGTACTTTGAGGGATGCCTGGGTGGCTCAGTGGTTAAGCATGTGACTTTGGCTCAGGTCATGATCTCACAGTTCATGAAGTTTGAGCCCCACACAGGGGTCTGTGCTGGGAGCCTGAAGCCTGCTTCAGATTCTGTGTCCCCCTCTCTCTCTTTGCCCCTCCCCCACTCATGCTCTGTCTCTGTCTCTCTAAAAAATAAACATTAAAAAAATTTAAAGATTATGTACCTTGAGCTTTTCCAGAGTTCCCCTAAAAACCTGTCAAATCATGCCCATGTAAGTTCAAGATCATCAGCTACTAACCGAACTACCTACAAAAAACAAAAATCAATATTCTTCAGAGAATAACAGAAAACAGAATCTCTATAATGTACCATCTACAATGTCCAGTGTACAATAAAAATTACTAATAAAAATGTGAGCCATAATCAAAGAAAAAAAGAGTGAACAAAAACCAATCTAGCAAGGGCCCAGCTACTGGAATTAGCAAAGACCTTGTTGTAGCCGTTATAAATATATTTAAACAACTTAAAAATATATAGCTTAATAAATGAACTTTGGAGAAATGGAAACTATAAAAAAGACCCAAATGGAAATTCTATACCTGAAAAATATAGTAACTAAAATAAAAATCCATTGGATGGGTTTAATAGATCAGAGAAGACAGAAAAGAACTGGTAAATCTTAAGACAGATCCACAGAAGCAATGAAAAGCATCAACTAGAGCCCCACACACCAAAGACATAGGTATGAAAGAATCAAAGCATATGAAAGCAGTCAGTGATGATCTGAACAAATTTAAAATTCAGAGTTGAAACAGTACTAATACATTTGAGACAATACTTAATACTTCAAAGGCTCCGCTATTAAAGGATATCAAGAATCTCATACTTTTCCAAGTGGCTGAGACTATATTCATTTTCTATCTAGGTACTAATACACAGTACTAACACACAGAGACTGTTAAATTAAACTTCTTCTTTGCTGGAAAAGAGATCACAGTAAATCCTGCTGTCTAGTCAATTGAGCTTGATATTAAAATCATACTCCTTTTCTGGGAATGCAAGCTGGTGTAGCTACTCTGGAAAACAGTATGGAGGTTCCTCAAAAAACTAAAAACAGAACTAACCTACGACCCAGCAATTGCACTACTGGTCATTTATCCATGGGATACAGGTGTGCTGTTTTGAAGGGACACATGCACCTCCATGCTTATAGCAGCACTATCAACAATAGCCAAAGTATGGAAAAGAGCCCAAATGTCCACCGATGGATGAATGGATAAAGAAAATGTGGTATAGGACACAATGGAGTATTACTCAGCAATCAAAAAGAATGAAATCTTGCCATGTGCAACTACGTGGATGGAACTGGAGGGTATTATGCTAAGTGAAATTAGAGAAAGACAAATATCATATTACTTCACTCATCTGAGGACTTCAAGAGACAAAAGAGATGAACATCAGGGATGGAAACAAAAATAATATAAGAACAGAGAGGGGGACAAAACAGAAGAGACTCATAAATATGGAGGACAAACTGAGGGTTACTGGAGGGTTTGTGGGAGGGGGGATGGGCTAAATGGTTAAGGGGC